TTGCCTTTCACTCTGACCAACTGTGAAAGGGTGTGAATGAGTGTTGGTGGCTATTTGTGACCAAGTGTGACTGAGGGGGTGTCCATATTTTATGTCTGGTGGGACTGTGACTTGTAGATTGAGTGAAAATGAATTCTAGTGGCGATGAGGTGGTGGGTGTGATGGAGTGTGACGGCATGTGTGCAACAGTTCTTTGGGGCTATGGGGTTGAGGGTTGTGTGGAGTGTGGCTGAGTGTGCAAATGTTTCAAATGAACTGTGGCATACAATAGGTGCTCAAACAGTGTTGCTGAGTAAGTGCATGCAGCCATTTCCAAGAGACTTGTTCTAGGTGTGAATACTGGATAGGAGAACGGTGTATGTGTGTGTATGTGTGTCTGTCTAGGCCCTAAAAAGAAGTTAGCCCCTGCATAATATACACTCTCAAGCGTCCTGGCTGAGGCCCCAAGTCACTGGTCACCTGGCTCTGCTGGGGACTCAGAGAAAAGAGCCAGGTGCTTCCCCACAGAGATGCCCCTCTTTACCATTGCCAGTCCAGCCTGGTTCACCCTGCCCACTCCCTTTCCAGTCTCGGAGCTGAGCCAGCCCCACAAGCAGCAAATCTGGGCCTAAATCAGCGCCCATCACTCATGTAGCAGCCTCATCTGCCCCCTGCTGGGTGCTGCCCGCTGGCTCTGGAATGGGGAGGGGCACACACCCAGGATAGGGGCTGGCACCTGCAGAGGGTTGGGAGCCCACTCTCTTCTTTCCCCTGCCTGGGATCCCTGTCCCGCAATCCCAACTTGGGCGCTGTGCCTAGGGTCTTGCTGTCTATGTGCTCTCCCTGTGTCTCTGCTGCTGACTCTCTCCTGTGTCCTCATGATAACTTCCCTCTGCCATTCATTCTGTCTCAGCCTTTATTCCACACTTTGGTTTCTTCTTTCCTCTATTTTTCTCTTTATGCCTCTGAAGGTCTCTGAAGGTGCAGATCAGGGCTGGGGCTGGAACCGGGGGCATAGGCTGTCTCCATTTAGCAAGTCCTATTACCACCCTTCCCTGAAACCAGCAGTATTCTTTATGGCAAAGAGACCTATGGGTGGTGAGGGTGGGTGGATGGAAATGTGATAGGGCCCTGTCAGGGAGGAGCACACTGGCTACTCTTCACTTTAGAGCAAGTGTCCCTAACACCCTGACTCCAGCGGGATGCTGTGGTTTAACCAAACCGTCAGCTCCTTCTCAGATCACTTGGTCATTCATTGATTCATTCAACAATCATGGAGCCCATTTGATAAGCCAAGCACTGGGTTAACCAATATGAGCAAGATGTTCATAGACCCTTGTCCTCCAGGGCCTCACTGCATAAGGGAGACAGGCAGGTAAACAGATAAGGATGCTGGTCTTCCAGGGGTGGGAGAGAGGGTACAGTGAGGCCGAAAGGGGGCTGAATTCTATAGGGAGGAGTGTGGAAGAGAAGCTTTAGGGAGAAAGGGATTCTCAGCTGCATTAAAGAATTTTTCTACTAACAAAAATAATACTTGCTTCATTCAGAATGCTTAGAAGACATAGAAAAGCTCAAAGGAAAACAGAAATCAAATAGAACTTCTACCAACAATTTCAGGGAGTTTTGAGAGATGATAGTTTTTGTAAGTGAATGAGGTAGTGGTGGGGAAACTTGTGAACAGTGGAATTAGAGAAGAGCATTCCAGGCAAAGGTAGGGGCATGAGTCCAGGCATCGTGGCAAGAGTTCAGGATATTTGTGGCTGTAAGAAGACTGCTGTAGCTGAACCTGAGGGTCCCATAGGCTGGCTGAGGAATTTGGCCTTTGCTTTTCGGGCAATGAGGAGCCACCCTGAAGGGTAGTAAGCAGATGAATAGTGTGACCACATTTCCCACTTTTGAACAGTTATTCTGGAAAATGGATTGGAGGCTGTTGAGACCCAAAGCAGAAAGACCAGTTAGGAATGAGACATTAGGCAGTGAGAGATGGTGACTGTGGTAATGCTGTGGGAGAGAGAAGATGGAAATCCAAGGGGAAGACAGAATGAATAGGAATGGAGACTGGCTGTGGGTGGGAGAGGGGGAGGAGCCAAGATTGAAGACCAGGCCTTTGGCTTAGTCAGTAGCAAGTTTGATGGTGCCACTTGCTAAAATGAGAAACTTAGAAGGATTGGGGTTGGGATGGTGGAAGGGATGAATTTGCTTTTGGATGTGTTGAGTAGGCAATGGAAGCATTCATGTGGAACTGTTCAGTTGGTGGTAGAAAACCAGGGTCTGAAGCTGGGCATGTAGATTTGGAAGTCACTGTTCATTTCTATGAATCAATCAACAAATATCCCCTGAGCACCTATGATGGATTGGGCTGGGAATGCAATGGTATATGAAACAAGCTGCTCTCTTCCCTTGTGGGGCTCACTAGCTATCAAGGGTGGCACCTGAAGCCATGAGACAGGATGGACTTTCCAGTGGGGGACAGAGGAAGGTGCTAGAGTGCCAGCCTTGCAGGGCTAGTGGCAGGCAGCTGAGGCCTCTCCTCTTGAGTCACAGAAGGCCATCCAGACACTTGCTCCATTACCTTCTCAGACAAGCTTGACTGGATGTCTCCTGTGGTTCCTGTTCTCCAGGCCTTCTCCCTGCCAGTGTGCCATGACTTTCTCATAAACAGACTTTCTCATGTCTGTGGGGCAGCCGGCTCCCTGTGACTGTCCTACTCTGTGTTGTGCCGTGGAAGAGAAGTCTGACACACTCTGCTTTTGTCTGCCTTGTAGAGCTTTCTACAGCTTCCAACATTGTTTGACAAACAACAAAACAAAACAAGTCTCCTTGTTATGGTCTTCAAAGCCCTCCATGACCTGGCTCAGCCTAGTTACCCAGCATCATCCATGGCCAAACCTCCCATATGCCCCAGGGGCGGCCTTTCCAAACTAACTCCCAAACCCTGATCAGCCCTTGCTCTCTCCTGCCTCCAAGCTGTGCCCATGCTCTTGACACCATCTCCCTTTCCCAGCCAGTCAGCTGCCTTTTAGTGATTTGGCTCAGGTGTCTCCCATCTGAGAGATTTTGCTGTCTTTCAGAGCCCCTTAGGGTCCCTTCTCATGGGCTTTTTTTGCTGGATCTGAATGTTTATGTCCCCCCTAAATTCACGTTGAAATCTTAACCCTCAAGGTGATTGTATTAGAAGGTGGGGCCTTTGAGATCTGATTAGGTTATAAGGGCAGAGCCCTAGTGAAAGGGATTAATGCCCTTATAAAAACGACCCCAGAGAGCTAGCTACTCCCTTCCACCATGCAGGGACACAGCAAGATGGTGCCATCTATGAGGAAATGGGCCCTGCTGGTGCCTTGATCTTGGACTTGTCAGCCTCCAGAATGATGAGAAATCAATTTCTAGTTTTTTAATTAGACATCCAGTTTATGGTATTTGCCATAGCAGACTGAACAGACTAAGACAGCTTCTCTTTAGGAAAACCTTATTAACTCATATGATGATTGTCTTGCTGGTCTGGTTCTACTTCCAGATAAGAAAATCCTGTAGGGTTGGGCTTGGGTTTTGTTCCTGTCTATAGTTCCAGTGCCTCGTATAATTCCAGGCATATATCAGGTTCAAAATTACAGATGGTGCATTAGAGTAGACTGATGTGGAGATGGGGCTGGAGTTGGAGGTAGCTGGGTGATGGGCAGGGCTGATGTCAGAGACAGGGCTGGAGCCAGGGAGTGTTGAGGTGTTTGGGGTAAGGGTGGGTGTTGCAGCAGAGCTGGTGGGAGGTGGGCTGGGTGTAGGAGTAGAGCTGGTGACAGTGCAGGGCTGGGTGTCTGGGATGGGGTGGCTGTTAGAAATGCAATTTTAGATAAATGGCAACTGGGTGGAGGATAAAGGGGACTGGGTGTTGGGGGGGTGGGGGAGGGCTGATGGAAGGAGTTGGATTCAGGAGCACAGGAGAGCCCCCCTGAGACCTCTCCAGGGTTCTGACTTTTAATGCTGCTGATCCAGCGCTTCCTCAGTAGCCAGCTTCTCCCCAGAAGGAGAGAAGGAGAGGAGAGGAGACCCAGGGAGAAGAGCCTAAAAGGGTGAAGAAGGATTTTCATTATGAAGTTAATTAGCTTCAGAGCCGCTGCACCTTTCAGGACGAGGAATTAGAGGGATTTAATTGCTTTATCAGCCTTCCCTTTGATTTTCAGCAATCAGGCCGATTCCATTTAATTTAACTGCCACAGACGAGGAGAAAATTGATGCGCTCACCTGCCTCGGAGCAGAAAGAGAGAGAGTGGGGAAGAGGGAGAGGGGGAGCCAGAGAGACTGGCAAACACAGAGTCTGCAGATTAATGAAAACCAACAGCATTTGCTCACAATTGGAGATGAAGTGTGCCCTCGAGGTGTTTGGAGCTGTGTGCGTGGCTGAGTGTGTGTGGCTCTGTGTGAGTTTGTGTGTTCGGCTGTGTGGGAGTTTGTGACTAGGCATGTTTGCGTGGGTGTGACTGTGAGTGATTTGGTTGCCGTGGAGGTGGGAGTGTGGGTGAATGCTGGTATTTGGCTGTAGGTAAGTGACGTTTGAGGCATGTGATTGACTGTCAAAGACTCCTGGTATATTGGAACGACAGTGTGAATGAGGATGATTGTCTCTGCTGGAGTAACCATGAATACAGTGACTATGTGTAAGAATTACCTTCATGTGAGGCTGCACATGTATTTGTTCATTTTTTTAGGAAGCACAGAAAAAACTCCTGCTAAGAGTTAGGCATAGCATTGTGGAGCAAAGAGGACTGAGATGGGGTCCCTGTCCTCAAGGGTTCAGAGTCTAGGGAAGGAGACAGACTGGTAAATAATGTCATGGCTATAGCATGAACTGCATGGATTGCTGAGGTGGCACTGTTCTGAAGGCCTCCCAGAAGAAGTGGCTTAAAAGATAAGAAAGTTTGTAAGTAGAGAAGGAGTTGCTGAGGTTAGGATATAGGAAGAACATTGCAACAAGATCAAACAGTATGCATAGCATAAGAGGATGTGAGGGTTGCTTAGGAGGGCAGAGCATAAATGGAGCATAAATGACTGTGGATTGTGCTAAGAAATGTGTACTTTTCCAGTAGGGTATTGCCTGGAAGCAGCTCTCAGAAATGCTTGCTAGAAAGATTGTTCTGGCTGTTGGTTAAAAGATAGATCAGAGAAGTCAATATGAGAGGCAAGAAAAACAGTTACAACCATTGAATAACACAGGGGAGAGATTATAAGGGTCTGAGGGAAGAGGGAAGAGATTAAGTAGAATGGGCAGGATTCAGGAAGGGGAGAGGCAGAAGGAGGTGCTGAAGGTTTCTTAAGAGCAAGGTAGTGATTCCTTAAGAGACATACTTGAGAAAGAAGGTGGAGGATGAAGGTAATGATCCAGTCTTGAATGTGTGGACTTTAAGTTGCAATAGGATGTCAGGTCGAGGTACCCAGCAGACAGCTGGATATGGGGCTAGAGTGTAGCAGAGATGACCAACCTGAAGACAGAGAGGAGAATCCTCAGCATGTGGAGATGGTAAACAATGCCACAGGAGCAGAGGTGACTCCCCAGGGAATGTGTTGAGATCTGGAGGAAGAAAAAGAAACAGAAAGATGATGAAGAATCAGACAAAACAGAGGAAAACAGAAAGTTAGGAAAGAACATGGCTGAGAGTTGAATTCGGTTTTGAGAGTTCTTGAGTTTGAGGCTTGCTATGAGACATACATATATCTGTGTCTAGTGGCCGAATCTAGAAGGCAGCTCTCTCAGCATGAGTGAAGGCCTAGGGATGTGAAAGTTCCTGCTGGAATCTGGCACAAATGATGTATAGGAGGAGTGGCTTGGATGCAGATGATGAGACAGAAGTGAGTTGGGTTACCGAGGGCTTTGAAGACCAACCTACAAGTTAGTACTTTAACCTGCAGCCAGGTTCAAGTTATTGACCATCTTTAATAAGGATATGACTTGGTTAGATTTTAAGCTGTTACACTACATCTTAGTTTGATTTTCTCTGGAATCAGAACTTGAAACAAGGTCTTGGGAGAAGGCAGCTTATTTGAGAGGAAATCCCAGGGAGCAGTAGTGAGGGAACAAGGAGAAAGAAAGAGAGGAAAGCTGGTTGCCACTGTGGGCAATGGAAGCTCAATCTTTGGGAAACCTCTATTCCTGCACTTTGGGCTGGGCGTAGTCGTGTACACCCGTAATCCCAGCAGCTTGGAAGGCTGAGGCAGGAGGATCACGAGTTCAAATCCAGCCTCAGCAACTTAGTGAGGCCCTAAGCAATTTAGTGTGACCTTATCTCAAAAACAAAAACAAAAACAAAAATACATAAAAAGGGCTGAGGATGTGGCTCAGTATAAGAATCCCTGGGTTCAATCCCTAGTAGTACCAAAAAGAAAGGGAAAAAAAATGCACTTCAAAATTGTGCATCTCTAAAGGACAAGAAGCTGGGTTTATTCCATGAGGTCCCCATGGCTAGAAGGTTGCTGTCAGGGCCATGCCATCCTTTTTCCTAGGCTAGATGAACTGATATCAGAAGTGGGCTGATGGGAAGAGACATCAGGAACAATTAAGAATCTGCTAATTGTGGCAGGCACTTGGGAAACAGATTGAAAAGGTAGAGGATGGAGGAAGGCATACCAGTTAGGAGATGACTGCAATGGCCACACAATCCAAGATGAAGAATGTGAGCACGGAGGGGAGGAAGGAATAGAATTAATTTGGCCTATAGATAAATTTGGGGTTTGGGGTCTGTGGTAGGCAGTGCCCAAGTCTAATCCCAAGAACCTGTAAATATGTTATGTTATAGAGCATGGTGGATTAGGGTGGCAAATGGAATTAAGGTTGCTAATCAGCTCCAGATTTATCTTGGATCTGAATAGGTCCAGTGTATTCACAAGAGTCCTTATAAGAAAAAGAAAGCGGGAGTGTCAGAGTCAAGAGTGACTTGAAGATGCTAGGTTGTTGTCCTTGAAGACAAAGAATGGGGCCATGAGCCAGGGAATACCGGTGGCCCCTCAAAATCGGAAAAGGCAAAGGAACAGATTTTCCTCTACAACCTCTGGAAAGACTAGCCCTGCTGACATCTTGATTGGAGCTCAGTGAGAACCATTCTAGACTTCTGACTTCCAAAGTGAAAGTTAATAAATATGTGTAGTTTTAAACCACCAAGCTTGTGATCTCTGTTAAAATACCAGTGATAAACTTATAATCCAAGAAGGATTCTCAAATGATTTCCAAGACTTCTAGCTTGGGCAAGAAAAGGAGTAAAGGGTAAAGGAGTAAATTTGGAGAGAGTTTTCTGAGTTGTTTCAACCATGTTCTTTTTGTGGCAGGAGGGAATTCTATGTGGAATACTATATCATATAGGATATGAAGCCAAGGTGGGAGAAAGATTTTTGGGAGGGGGTTTGGATGGCTTGGATGTACTTTAAATCCAAGGGCTCATGTGTTGTAGGCTTGGTCCTTAGTGTGGCAGTGTAGAGGTGGGGAGATCTTTAAGAGGTGGGCCTAGTGGGAGGTTGTTGAGAGTGCTGCTCTCAAAATATAGTAACGTAGTTCTGGAGGAACCCTGTATTGATTCTTGCAAGAATGTTGTTAGAAAAAGAACAAGACCAGTCCCTCCCCTCACTTTGGCTTTCTGTATCATCATCTCCTAAGAAACCAAGGGCAATACAGTACAGGAAAGAGAATAGAGGCCACTGAGCCAATACTGGAACTCAAAGAGCTTGTTAAGAGCAAACAGATAACAGAGCCAGCCTGCACCGTAAGACAAGGTCATACTAAATTGCTTAGGGCCTCACTAAGTTGCTGAGGCTGGATCTGAACTCGTGATCCTGCTGCCTCAGCTTTCCAAGCTGCTGGGATTACAGGTGTGCATGACTACTATCATTCTCCACCATCCCTAACATACTGGCTCCCCAGGTCTGTCCTCATTCAATGATGAGTGACCTCCTCTGCTCCCACAGCTTCAAATATCATCATGCTGATGAAGACTGCTGTATTATTTCACTTTCTGTTACTATAATGAGGAAAGCAATATAACTGAATAGTACTTTGCTTATTGCCTCCAGCACCAACCCAGGGCAGAGAGATGAGTGTGTAGGATCAAGGTAGAGCCTTTGGGGGTAGCATATATACTGAGCACAATGAACCCATACCCAAGTCAATAGAAAGATTTATCACTTTATTCCTCTTTGATGCCTCTAAGAAGATGAAATGAATGGATTTTGCTGATCTCATTTTCTTTTCACTTTATCCTTATTCATGTGATCATCATGTGATCTCCCACTCTTTCTCACTCCTGCATGTGGTAACACCATTGTGATGTTACCTTCCATGATATCATGCAGCCAGGGAAGCCCTTGCCAGAACCTGCCTAGCCTTCAAAACTGTGAGCTAAATAAATCTCTTTTCTTAGATAAGTTCCCAGCCTCAGGTATTTCATTATAGTAACAGAAAGTGAAATAATACAGCAGTCTTCATCAGCATGATGTTATTTAAAGCTGTGGGAGAGAGGAGGACACTCATCATTGAATGAGGACAGACCTGGGGAGGAGGGATGCCAGTGTGCTGGGGATGATAGAGGAGTCGCCACTGGTGCAGGCTGGCTCTGTTATCTGTTTCCTTTTAGCAAGCTCTTTGAGTTCCAGTTTTGACTCAGTAGCCTCTATTCTCTTTCCCATACTGTATTGCACTTGGTTTCTTAGGAGGTGGTCTGTAGGACAGCTCTGTACTTTTGTGCCAATTTTACATAGCACAATTCTAAGGGCACAATTCTGACATAGACTTAAATATGAGTGTGAGTTGTCAGTGTACATACAAACTTGCCAGCAGTACTTGAGAAAGGGAAGGAAGAACATGGTGGTATGGTTGGTCTCTTTAGAGAGGCAACAAATTGAACCATCCTTTGCCTCTAACTATATCTAAATCCTCAGCCCTGGGTTAAATCAGAATGCAAAAGATTTCAGAAGCAAGGCCTTGAAATAGAATGGGAGCAGCTCCTAGAAGAAATGGGGTTCTGGGGGCTAGGCTGTCAGCCATCCAGGACTGGATCCTCCTGTCAACCCCCATTCCTTGGGAAGACAGCTCTTCCCTCTTCTCCAGCACCCCACCTGTGTTGACTGTCTGTGATTAGAATGTGGACTCTAACTTGGAATTAACCTGATTAATGTAATGAAGGCAGGGCCGGCTCAGCACCGCCTGGTGATGAGGGGAGATGGATTGGGAGCGAAGGCGCTGGGATGGAGGCGCGGCTGTAATTGCTGCGTTTACTGCTACCTGCCTCGCTGACCCTGCTGTTTAGCCCATTAATGATGATGCACAAGCCTCACTTTCCAGAGATAATGACAGAGAATCTCACGGGAGGGGAAGAGACCTGGGGGTGTGAAGAAGACATGGATCTGAGACGGGACCATGGAGAGAGTGAGGGCATGAGGGGCAGGGCATAGACGCATTTGCGGAGAGAGGGTGCAAAGGTATAAGATGCAGGCTTGCTCTAGGCTCTTGCTCTTTGGCAAATTTAGGGTATCTACCCAGCACTGAGCTTTGAGTAAAGGCTGTTGTAGCTGTCAGTGTGCTCTGGCCAGGAGGTCAATACTGCTGCCTCTAATTCAGGAGGGTTTCTTGGAGGAGGGATCTTGGAAAGAGGAAAGAAAACCCAGAGAATGGGCAAGAACTGATTATGCTTTCCTCATTGCCTCCAGCACCAACCAAGGGCAGAGAGGTGAGTGTGTAGCATCAAGGTAGAGCCTTTGGGGGTGGCATATATGTACTGAGCACAATGAACCCATACCCAAGTCAATAGGAAGATTTATCACTTTATTCCTCTTGATGCCTCTAAGAAGATGAAATGAATGGATATTGCTGATCTCATTTTCTATGCACTTTATCCTTATCCACTTACATCCTTCCTTCCTTCCTTCAAGATAGATGAGAGCTATCTTTTTCTGGTACACACCTGCTGTGCCATAAGGCAGACCCCTTCCCCTCTCTGGACCTAGGTTTATCACTCTGTAAATGAGGGGACAGACCTGATGATCAGCTCTGATATGCAATGATGCAAGATGTTGCACATCTTTATTGACACACACTTGCAGCGTCTCCTGGTCTCTTGTGTGGGAGGAGTGTCCTCTCAGAGGAGTCTGGAAGACAGTGTCTTTCCAACCTGCACTGGACGCTATCAGAGTGCACATTCCTATGTCCTCATTTTAAAATAGCTAGTTGGCTTTGTGGACCAACAGAAATCCCCTGCCTTTTTTCCTAGGAACTACTGGCAAATCATGACGCCTTCACAGTACACTGAGGCAATTGATTTGTGAAACAAATTTAGAATTTCACATTTCCCCCCCTTAAATTCCATTATGTTAATTTTAGCCTATTATTCTGAGGATCCTATGAGGCCCTAATTTTGTCTTTCACCATTCACAAGCTTTACATCTTCTGATGATCTAATGAAACTGGAGGTCATTAACAAAAATAGGGAATGGGAAGAGCGGAGGGTGAAATCATGGGACAAAACTCTTGATATTTCCTTTTGAACTTATACCAGCTACCTTTTTGATACCTTTCTCCATTTGAATTATTGG